TATATATATATATATATATATATATATATATATATTACTATATAATTAATGGACCAAAAATGTATATAAATACATGTACAATATATAGTAGTGTATATAGTAATATATAGTAAATAAACAGATAAATACAAGATAATATTTTATATAACTATTTATATATTTATATAAATATTTAAAACATATATTTTATAAAAGTATAATAATCAAAATAAATTTTGTAAATAAATAATTTAAAATAAGTAAAATGTAATTCTCATACATGAATAAAAAAGCAGATAATTTGGTAATAGTAATAAAATGACAAATATTTTTGTATATTGTTATATGTTGATATAAATGAAAACTATATATCTGAAAATGTATTTTTTTTTGCCGTATGTGAAATGTTTTTTTTTTCTTCTTCTTTTTGTATTTCATCATTCCCAGTGTAAGGACAGTGAGGCGGAGTTCACTGAGGACAACCTGATGTACTGTGTGGTGGATCTGTTTGGAGCAGGAACAGAAACCACCTCTAACACACTCAGATGGGCCTTACTCTTCATGATCAAGTACCCAGAAGTACAAGGTGGGATAGCAATCAATCAGAAATGTGTCACCTCCTGTTGCTTGCCTTCAAAAACTACCATCAGCATGCTCTTCGTTGACTATTTTCTGTCAGAGAAAGTCCAGTCTGAGATCGATCAGGTGATTGGACAGACACGCCAACCACTGATGGATGACCGAACAAATCTGCCGTACACCTACGCGGTGATGCATGAAATCCAGAGGTTCGCCAACATTGTTACCTTCACGCCTCCCAGAATGGCCAACAAGGACACGACAGTGGGAGGACGTCTCATCCCGAAGGTTATTTTGTTTTTGCGTCATGTACCATACAGCATTTATGTGAATGAATCTGCAACTTCTGTTGGTTTATCACAGGGTGTGGTAGTGATGCCATTGCTGAAGTCAATCCTACAGGATAAGAATGAGTACAGCACTCCGTATGAATTCAATCCTGCTCACTTTCTGGATGAAAATGGCAAATTTTTGAAGAAAGACAGTTTCATCCCATTTTCAATAGGTAGGTCGTGTCCATACAGCTGTAGTACTGTAAGCTTACTCTGAGTTTACTGATCCAGAGCCTGATTTCCAGGTAAGAGGATGTGTCCAGGTGAGCAGCTCGCTCGAATGGAGCTCTTCCTCTTCTTCACGTCTCTGATGCAGTGTTTCACCTTCTTGCCTCTTGAGGGATTTATGAAAGTTCAAAAGAACAGCATTTATTTGAAATAGAAACCTTTTGTAATATTATAAATGCCGTTACAGTCACTTTTGATCATTTAAATGCATACTTTCTGAATAAAGTTAATTTTTCTTCCCAAAAAGGTTCTTTCCTTACAGTATTTTTACAGGAAATTTGGCAGATGTCATTTAGAAACACTCCTAACTAATAAAGATTTTAATTCATCAGAATGTTTTGCAGACAAACATCAGTTAAATCTTTTGCATAGCCCATATTAAAGGGATACTTCACCCAAATATGAACATTTTGTCATTAATTACTCACCCTTATGTTGTTCCTAACCCGTAAGATCTTCGTTTATCTTTGGAACACAAATTAAGATATTTTTGATGAAATCGGAGAGCTATACAATACAACTGAAATGTTCAAGGCCCAGAGATGTAGTAAGAACATTGTTAAAATAGTCCATGTGACATCAGTGGTTCAACCGCAATTTTATAAAGCTACGAGAATTTTTTTGTGCACAAAGAAAACAAAAATAACAACTTTGTTTAAATGTGTCCAGGAGAGCAGCTCGCTCGAATGGAGCTCTTCCTCTTCTTCACGTCTCTGATGCAGTGTTTCACCTTCCTGCCTCTTGAGGGACAAACGTTGAGTCTGAAAGGAACTATCAGTGTCTCATCTGGTCCTGAACCCTTCCAGATACGTGCTGTGCCTCGATAGTGTAGATTTTAATCAGTCAAATCAGCTCCGCTCCAGAATCATGTTCTGTCAAGCGACAGTGTTCATTATATGGGTTCTTCTCCCACATGTGGCTCACAAACAGTAATTACTCAAGGAATTGAATGCATTTTTGAAAGGAAATTGATCTGATTTTCTTCTCTTAGTACTACTTTTCTGCTCATATACTGTCTGGTCATCGAATGCAGAGAAATCAAATTTAGTAAGATAAATACAGTAATACTGTGAAATCTTATTACAGTTTCAAATAACTGTTTTCTATTTCAATATTTTTTTAAGTGTGATTGGAATAACCTGTCATCAAAGCTGAATTTTCAGCGTCATTACTCCAGTCTTCAGTGTAACATGATCCTTCAGAAATCATTCTAATATGCTGATTTGCTGCTCAAGAAACATTTCTCATTATTATCAATGTTGAAAACGGTTGTGCTGTGGTTCAACCGCAATTTTATGAAGCTACGAGAATATTTTTTGTGCACAAAGAAAACAAAAATAACAACTTTGTTTAACAGTTTCTTCTCTTTCATGTCAGTTTTCGACACGCGTTCACAAGAGTACCACTACGCATGCGCTGCACCTTGTTTACAGGCAGAGGAAGACACACTGTACACTGTACATTTATACAGAGATTTTTTGCCTAGCCTTACCAGAATATACAAATGATGAACTAAGAGAGATGGACGTTCTATGTCAGCAGCACCACACAAAGAAATTGCTGAATAAAGTAGTTATTTTTGTTTTGTATTCTCGTAGCTTCATAAAATTATGGTTGAACCACTGATGTCACATGGACTATTTTAACAATGTCCTTGTTACCTTTCTGGGCCTTGAACATTTCAGTTGCGTTGCTGTCTATGCAGGGTCAGAAAGCTCTCGGATAACATCAAAAATATCTTATTTGTGTTCCGAAGATGAATTAAGGTCTCATGGGTTTGTTCACAACATGAGGGTGAGTAATTAATGTAAATTTTCATTTTTGGGTGAACTATCCCTTTAACATATTGACCAGTATCTAGACCAACTGTCAAGTACAACCAAAATCCAAATCCATCATAACAACATAACTGTTATGTTTACTGTGCTAAACACATTTGAGATTTGCTGTGCATTATCTAGAGGCACACGTGACAATGTTTTCAAGCATGGTTCATAGGGTCACACTGGTCTGCAGTGTTTTATTTTGTAAGCACCAGGACAATTTGAAGAATTTCATGAGCTCCCAGGGCTTTGTCATGATATAACTCAAACATACTCGTAGATTATGATTAAGGAAGTTGACTTTTGTGGCTTTTTAGTTCACTGCATCTTAACTGCATTCTGAACAATCTTTGGATATTAGCAAAAGTGAATTATTATTGGCTAATTTTGTAATGCTCTAATTTTTAAAGCTGTTTTTTTTTTTTTTTTTCAAGCACATATATCGTTTGTAAAGGTTCTGGACTTTTACTTATGACCGACGTCCTCGAGTTAATCAAATTCAACTCAAAGTAACTCAAACGCAAACTGTGCTTAATAAATATATACCTATTTTTTTTAAATACATTTTTTTATAATTTATATTTATCAGAAAAAAATGCTATTCTTCATTAATGAACAAATATGGTCTTAATAAATAAATATATATATATATATATATTTCATTTTGGATTCTTTTTCTACCATCCAACCTGAACACAAGTAGATAAATACATGTGAAAGATTTCAGCAAATGTACAGGCTAGTCTGGTACTGTATCTCAATGCCAAGTTGGCATGGTACATCTACAAGGCCACACAACTCATGCATATCTTCACAGCATGATAATACTACTATGGCTCATGAATATTAACTAGGTGACATGATGGTCCAGAGAGGGCCCATGATCATTAAATTAGTTCAATTCACAAGTAATTGTCTGATTTCCACTCTGTAACTTCTGACAAAATCAACAAACCCTTGAAAATCAAGTAAACACTGGCAGTGATCTAGGCCATTACCTCTGCATGTGTCTCCGGTGATGAACAAACAACTTGGCCATAAAAATTCATCACTGGCAGCAGGACGAGGTCAAGGGTGTAATATCATTTCTTGGTGCTAATGGCTTTCTCAGCTACAGACCCCACAGTGAGAGCTGAATTACAATTAGGTGTATTTTCTGACATGGTACATGATCTCTGAAAATGTGAAATTGACTGAGTTTAAAGCAATAGTTGACCCAAAAATGAAAATTTGCTGAGGATTCACTAAGTCTCGGGCAATCCAAGATGTAGATGGGTTTGTTTCTTCATGGGAATAGATTTGGAGAAATTTAGCATTGCATCACTTGCTCACCAATGGATCCTTTGCAGTGAATGGGTGCTGCCAGAATGAGAGTCCAAACAGCTGATAAAAACATCACGATAATCCACAAGTAATCCACACCACTCCAGTCCACCAATTAACGTCTCGCAAAGCAAAAAACTGCATGTTTGTAAGAAACAAATTCATAATGAAGGCTTTTTAACTTTAAAATATCACTTCTGACCAAAATACAAGTCCATTATCCATGACTCTTCCTCCTGTGGAAAAAGTCCATCCCGTTGTCCTCTCACATCAAAATCAACCAACATATTTTGTTAAGAACTGTTCACTTGTAAACAGTGCTTGATCTGTGCATATTAGTCTCCTGATTCAGACAAGATGACTTTTTCACTGGCGAAAGCAATATTATAGATAGAGGACTCGTATTTTATCCAAGCGACAGTTTGAAGTTAAAAATGTTTTAATGATGGATACAAACACACAAGTCATTAATTGATGGACTGGAGTGGTGTGGATTACTTGTGGGTTATTGTGATGTTTTTATCAGTCATTTGGACTCTCATTCTGACGGCACCCATTCACCGCAGAGGATCCATTGGTGAGCAAGTGATGCAATGCTAAATTTCTACAGATCTTTTTCTGTGAACATAAACTCATTGTTTTCAGTAAGTAGCCTATTTCAGCGTTGCTAATATAAATGAAACAAAAATATGTCTTAAATATGTAGGCATGCATTTAAGTTTATATAACATTAACCATTTAATTAAATTTGCTTTGGATCCTAAAATCTGACCTTTTCATTGTGTCTATGTCCAGTGGCCACATCAGCAGAGATGTTTTGGTCTGTCAACACTCAGAACTCTCCATACTGCAGGAGTGTCAACACTCTGCACAGACTGAATGAGGTCAGTGAGCAACAGAAGACTTTATCTACATGCAGATTTTATATTGGTGTTTTATGTAATGCATTAAACACTACAAATATATACAAAGAGAAAACCAGGTCAGATCACTGGAGAGATTTTAGGTTGCATTTCATAATCAAGTCTTGCAGAACAGCTGTAAGAAAGTTTGTACTGCCTTCTACAGGCCACAATATGCAAGTACAACTTTCTTTCTGAAGGTCAAGCATGAAGAGTTCATCTGTTTTCTCATTTTAAGGAATATATTTTCTGTAATTACATAGCATTGTATCTGGCTTTTTTATGTAATTTTTGTGTTTCTAGGTTTGCCCTTCGACACTCATTGTCTTCAACCAGCTCAGAGGCTAATATAATCTGTGGGTGTTTGATCAAAGCTTTGAGTATGATTTCATCCGATGTATTTGACAAGGGTCAAATATATCCAATATCAGCATACTTGCCCACTTGATTGATTTTATTAAAAATTGTAAAAAAAAATTGCATTAATTTCCAGAACATAAATCTGAACATTTAATAAAGCCAGGTTCAAAATTCTTATTTCGTTTTGTTGACATATTGGAGTTACAGAGGGGATTTTGGAGATCTCTTGTTATCACTCCATAAATAAAAACATACGATAGATAGATAGATAGATAGATAGATAGATAGATAGATTTACCATGTATTTAGGAATAAAATATATAAACTCAGACAATTTTCATTTTTGGGTGGACTATCCCTTTAAGTGGACTAATCAAAAACATCTGTTGAGCTAGTAGCACCACCTAGTGGAGAAGATCATTACAGAAAACCAGGTCATAACTTTTTTTTGCACACTTCACTTTAAAGGGGTCATATGATGCTGCTAAAAAGAACATTATTTGGTGTATTTGGTGTAAGGAAATGTGTTTATGCGGTTTAAAGTTAAAAAAACACATTATTTTCCACATACTGTACATTATTGTTTCTCCTCTATGCCCCGCCTTTTTGAAACGCGTCGATTTTTACAAAGCTCATCGGTCTGAAAA